CTTCAGACTCCTATCTCTAGCCCCTGGGAAGCAGACAAGGTCAAGAGGCTTTTGCCTTTCTCTCTCCATGCTCCTGCCCCCTCCTTCTTTCCTAGGGGAAGAAGGGGGAGAAGAAAGAGACGGGGCAGAGTAACCTTGAGAAGATAAGGCCAGTTAACCTTGAAAAAGTAGGGAGTTAGGAAGGGTGGGATGGAGGTGGGAGACGGGGTGGAGGGGACTGCAGAACTTTGAGGCATGGGGAGGGGGGGAGTTTGCAGAGTCCCAGACTTCCAGGTGGGGTCCTAGCCAGCTAGCAGTTAGTAGAAGAGAGCTGGACAGCTGCAGAGAGGTCTTCTTCCCTACCTCTGAATCCCAATGGGGGAAAAGAAAATGTTCAAGGAAACCGATTAGGAGTTAGTCGCAAAATAACATGGGGACAGAAGCCTGGGCTCAAGTAAGGACCTTCTCATTAAATGGCTCATTCATTCGTCTACTCATTCACTCATTCAAAAACATGTATTAAATGGTGTTCACTGTACTACTATGTCAATCATTCATAATATGCAAATTTTTGTAATAAAAATTGAGGGAAATATTAATTAAGCACCTAGAAATCTGCCAGGAGAGACAAAGTAAAATAAGATGGTTCCAACACTCAATGAGCTCATAGTCTTATCTGCTGCCCCTGTACAACCATGCTGGGAGCTGTCAAAAATCTTTTTGTAATAAAGTGGGATGGGTGGACAGGGAGAGGCGGATGAAAGATAGATAGATAGATAGAGATATCTATCTATCTAATCTATGTGTGTCTATCTATCTATACATACATACATTTAAAAAAAAAACCTGTTGCTATCGAGTGGATTCTGACTCAGTGATCATATAGGACAGAGTAGAACTGCCCCATAGATTTCCAAGGCTGTAACCTTTACGGAAGCAGACTGCCACATCTTTCTCCCATGGAATGGTTAGTGGATTCAAACTACCGACCGTTCAATTAGCAGCAGAGCGCTTAACCACTGTGCTACCAGCGATCCTTCAGATATACATATACATATATATATATAGAGAGAGAGAGAGAGACAGAGAGGTCAACTATCAACTCTTGAATGAATGTCACTGGGCCATTGGGAAAAACAGCTTGGACTGCCCTACCCTTGGTCTACCCTTGGCCCGCTCCCCACTGTTCCATCTATTACTTTTCTAGGATTGGGAATGGATTGGGGCTTCCCAGGCTAAGGCTGGGATCCAGGGCTGAGGAGGCTCCTAAGCATAGTGGAAGGAAGCTCTCCATAGAGGAGAGAAGCTTTTTTCTTGGACTACTTGGGCAGGGGTGATGACAATGACCTGATAGGGTGTGTGTGTCAGTGTTAGGAGACCTTAAAGGGCTGAGCTTACACATCTTCCTGAGATTCCTCTTCAAGCATCTCACACCTCATTGTTGAGAAGATCTACTTAAGACCAAAATTCCTCTTGCTGCTGTTTAAGGCCATTTCATCTCATTGTTGTGGAGCTAGAACATACGTGGGCAGGCTGTACCTGTGCAGCAAATGGGGACAGTGCGACGGATATGCACTAAGGCAAAATGGAAAAGTAAGCCACCCTGACCTTTGGCACCCGTCCAACACCACTTTCTATCTCTCGGTGCCACCTCTCCCAATCCAGAGTCTTCTGCCCTCTGCAGCAGGGTTTTTGGGTGGTCTCAAATTACCCTTGGCTCCTCTGCCCACTCATTCCTAGAAGACAGGGATCTCAGGGAAGTGTTCAAATAAGGGCAATCTGATTACAGTAGTTCCATCCAGGTGTGAATACCTAACAGGCTTAACCTTTCAGGGCTCTGGTATATGGAAACCAAATGGCAGTTCTTTCCTCAAGGTGCAATGAAAGCCAGGAGTGAAGGAATTTCTGCAAGTGTGTGAGCTTCTCATGAGGTCCTTGCCTACCAGGCCAAACAGTATAACCACTCTCCCCCCATCACCCCAGTGCGCAGGGCTTGGTTTGCTGTATCCTGCTCTGGAAAGCCCACAGGTCCTAGAGCAGGAGAAGGGTCAGTGTCACCTACTTCACAACAATGCTTCAGAGACTTAGTCCCCAGCTCCTTCCTCTTGCTATCCAGTTCAGGAAAACAGATTATCAGGGTGGGAGGACTCACCTTAGAAATCAAAGCCCAACCCCCCCCCCCCCATTTTGTAGAAGGAGAGCTTGGGCTAGAGACAGGGTATGAATTTTCTCAGAGGCTCCATTCCCTACCCATTCCAGCATTCCATGGCTTTCTTTAGGTTTTGCTCTAGGTCCTTCCTGCCTCCTTTCACCTCTTTTACCCCCTTAGCTGTGGAAGCCAGTTCTGAGTGTGGGGCTCTGGCCAAAAGCAACTAAGGATGACTTCCCATAGCTCCAAGAAGCTGTGACGCTTTTCATATCCCTGGAATTGCCCCTGCCTTTTTAGCATCAGGGCTATTAAGCTGATACATGCCCAGCTTGTGGTTCCCTAGGAACAGAGCCTCCTCTGAAACTGCCTACTTTTCTTTGGTGTCTCTTTATGACACATGCTTTATTTTCTTCCGCAGCCTTCTTGATCTTCCTTCTGCTAATTTCTCCCTTGTCTCTCTTTTGGGCTAGGCCTGCTGAATTTTAACCTTGTCCTACCTAGTACCAGCTGCCATCATCTGGAGTCAAATTCCTATAAGGATTTATCAATGAAGGTGTGCACAGACTTAGGGCCCAGAAAGACAAGACTAAATCCTTACTCTACGGCAATTTTCAGTCTAGAATCTAGTTAAGAGTGGATACAGACATAGACTGGTAAGAGCCAGACAGGAAAATCTCAATCTCAGTTGGGATGGGGGCTTGTCACAGCTCTTAGCTGCTCTTGCACCCTCTCCGCCACCCATGAGAAACACCTCAGGGCTCTGGCTGGGAGACTTCTTGGACCCGCCTTCCATGCCAGTGGCAGATAAAAGATGGGAGCCCGACTCCTTCCTCCAGTTACACCCCTGACTCGCTGTTCTCTGCCCCCCCCCCCGCCCGGGCCGTGGGCAGCCCGTTGGTCATGGACCCTATCAGCATCTGCCGGAAGGCTCGGCGAGTGGCAGGGCGGCAGGCCGAGTTGTGCCAGGCCGAGCCGGAAGTGGTGGCGGAGCTGGCTCGGGGCGCCCGGCTCGGGGTGCGAGAGTGCCAGTTCCAGTTCCGCTTCCGTCGCTGGAACTGCTCCAGCCACAGCAAGGCCTTCGGGCGCATCCTGCAGCAGGGTCAGTGTGCGGAGGGGTCTCCAAGGGGCCTGGCTTCTCCCCGCTGGGGTCCCCCCCGAGGACAGGGGGCGGTTTGGGGTACCCTGGACTGCCCGGGCCTCCACACCCTCCTCCGACCCGGTCTCTGGCTCCGCTCGACCCCACGCCATCCCGTCCCGCCAACCGCAGACCCTCTACCACCCAGTCCTGGCCCTGCCCGCTGACACCCCTTCTGCACCCACAGACATCCGGGAGACGGCGTTCGTGTTTGCCATCACGGCCGCTGGTGCCAGTCACGCGGTCACGCAGGCCTGCTCCACGGGCGAGCTGCTGCAGTGCGGCTGCCAGGCGCCCCGCGCGCGCGCCCCGCCTCGGCCCCCCGGCCTGCCCGGCACTCCTGGGCCCCCAGTCCCCGCAGGCTCCCCCGAAGCCAGCGCCACCTGGGAGTGGGGAGGCTGTGGCGACGACGTGGACTTCGGGGATGAGAAGTCGAGGCTCTTTATGGACGCGCAGCACAAGCGGGGACGCGGAGACATCCGTGCGCTGGTGCAACTGCACAACAACGAGGCGGGCCGGCTGGTGAGGATGGGGAGGAATGTGGCGGAGCGCACATGCCGGGTGACGATGTGTGGGTGGCTGGGTGTGAGTGGATGTGGGAGAGCGCGGGTGTGTAGGAGTGGGTTTATAGCAGTGTGGGACAGAAGTGTGGGTATCTGACTGTGGTTGTGTATTTGGGAGTATGTTGATGAGCATGGGGAGTGAGCATGTGCCAAGGGCCACACTGGGAAGACTGGCTGGCGCAAGGGTGGGCATTGGGAAGGGGGAGTGAGGTGGTCAAATCTACAAGAGGAAGTCACCTGGGAGGCCTGGAGCTGTGCTACAGTGGGCAGGGTGGGGAGGGGACACAGGGCCTTTAGGGAACCAGACCTCTGAGGCAGGACAGGTGGTCAAGACTTGGGGTCAGTAGGGCTCTGGATGCCAGTGCAGGGACGGAGAAAGGAGGCAAAAGCGTGGGATAAGTGGAAGGCCAGAAGCTGGGGCAAAGGAGTGGGATTTGGAGGTAGGGAGAAGAGAAGTGAGGGGGGCTTAGAAAGGGGCTGGGACAGGTGTGAGGGGGCAAAGGCCTTGGAAAGGAGTGGAAGACAAAGAGCAGACCCTGGTGGAGGTAGGAAGGTGTCAGGTGGAGCCAGGGAAACTGATGAATCTGGTCACTTGCCAACTGGCTGCCCAGCAGCCCCAGGCCAGGCTTCACCAGTCCAAACCCTGGCAGCCTCTCCTACTCCCTGCAATGAGGAGAGCCCCAGGAACTCTTGTTTCAGGGTGAGAAACCCACCTGGGTCAGATGGTTGCAGGGTGGAGGGCCTGGGAGGAGAAGGGGTACACACAAGTTTGTAGACCAGGTTGGCCCCTGGAGACAGCTTCTGGAGACCATCTTTCTGGGTCATCTGACCCCATAAATCTCGAATGGGGGTACAGCTCTTACCCCCCAGCTTCAGACAAAATAAGAAAATAAGAGGCAAGACTCCTGGGTTCTCTTCTCTGTAGTGCGTTTGTAGTGGACCCTCCTGCACTCTGAGCTTCAGTTCTAGGGTCCTCTAGGGACATCCCCACATACATATCCCGCGTCCTCTAGGGCTTGGGCCTGAGGCATTGGGCAGGCTGGGAGGAGGGTCCCGGAGAGGAATGTCCCGACAGGCCCACAGGCCTGTTGCAAAGGGCTGGGGAGGGATGGCCGAGCTCTTGGGGTAGGAATGAGGGGGCCAGGCTGGCAGGAGGGCTGGGCCTCGACAGCTGCCCCCTCCTCTGCCTCCTGCAGGGAGACTTTCACTCCTGCCATCCATTCTGCTTTCTTTCCCACCGCCTGGCTTTGGATCCTGGAACCTGTGCGCCATGTTCTGCCCCGCACCCCCCTCCCCCTTATACTCCTCCATCGTCATCATTCTTTCTCCTCCTCCTTCTCTCTGAGCTTTCGCTCCCTTGATCTCCTCCTCCCCACCGTGCGCTTTTTTTCTTTTGGCCCCTCTTTCTTCTTTTCCGTCCACTTCCCCGCCCCCCATCTTCTGCTCATTCTCTGGGCCTTTCGCCACTTCGCGCCCTCCCGTCTGTCCCCATCCGCCTACTCTTCTGCTCCCCGTAGGCCGTGCGGAGCCACACGCGCACCGAGTGCAAATGCCATGGCCTGTCCGGCTCGTGCGCGCTGCGCACCTGCTGGCAGAAGCTACCCCCGTTCCGCGAGGTGGGCGCGCGGCTGCTCGAGCGCTTCCACGGCGCCTCGCGCGTCATGGGCACCAACGACGGCAAGGCCCTGCTGCCCGCCGTGCGCACACTCAAGCCGCCCGGCCGCGCCGACCTTCTTTACGCCGCCGACTCGCCGGACTTCTGCGCTCCCAACCGACGCACTGGCTCGCCAGGCACGCGCGGCCGCGCCTGTAACAGCAGTGCCCCGGACCTCAGCGGCTGCGATCTGCTGTGCTGCGGCCGCGGGCACCGCCAGGAGAGCGTGCAGCTGGAGGAGAACTGCCTGTGTCGCTTCCACTGGTGCTGCGTTGTACAGTGCCACCGCTGCAGCGTGCGCAAAGAGCTCAGCCTCTGCCTCTGACCCGCCGCGGCGCTCTCCAACAGGCGCCGAGACACCGCCTATCGGAGCATGAAAGATCTCTGGGCTCCAGCAGGGGGCATTACCCGCGCTCTGCCTCTCCCTGTGATAGTCCATCTTCCAGGCCTCTGGAGACTGTGAGACCTGGGGCTTGTGATGCACACTGCCCACGAAGGATCAGGGCGCTGGAGGGGCCCCTGAGATCCGCTCTGGGGGTTCCTGGGGGAGACCCTACAGGCCCTCCCTTCCCTTGGCTCCCAGATGTAAACCAGAGAGCCAACCTCTAGGCTTCTGGATGCGAGGCTCCTCAGAACTGTCGGCATGGAATGGATGGGTGAGGTTAGTATCAATAAAGATATTTAAGCCAATACGACTGGACCCAGAGTTTGGGCAGAGGGCTGGGTCTCCTGTGGGTTCTGGAAGGAGTGTGTGAGGGAAGGTGGTTTTGATAGCACTAACATCTCAGGGGTCACCACCCTTGGTCCCCATCTTTCCCCACCAGGTTGGGCTTTTCTGAAAACCATTTCTCTCTCCCTTGGCACTCTTCTTGTTCATCCTTCTCACACTTGTAGGACTTAAATCTTTGAGTGCGGAAGAACTATCAATCCTTTAAAGGACAGTGAAAAGGCCTGGGAAAAGGGGACCAAAAGCTTCTGTCTCAGGCCAGCCTTCACCTTCATTTCTAGGGGATTGTAACACCTTTATCTGCCCTTCTGTTTCTGTGTCCCCTAGGGAATCCTAGGGTGGACTTAAAAAAATAATAGACTATTTTCTAGAGAAGTTTTTGGTTTACAGAAAAATTGCATAGAAAGTACAGTGAGTTCCAATACACTTGCACACACTTTCCCTATTATTAATACCTTGCATTCGTGTGGTAGGTTTGTACAATTAAGGAACCAATACTGATCCATTATTATTAACAAAAGCCCAAAGTTTACAGTAGGGTTTACCCTTTGTGTTGTGCAGTTCTGTGGGTTTAGAAAAATGCATAAAATCATGTATTCACCATTACAGTATCATACAGAATCATTTCACTGCTCTAAAAATCTGTGTTCCACCTATTCATCTCTCCTCCCCCTCTCTCTCCCTTGAACCCCTGGCAAGCACTGACTTTTTTGCTGTCTCTATAGATTTGTCGAGGGTGGATTTGGGGGCCACCCAAGCCCAGAGGGTTAAAGCAAAGCACTTTATAAAACTGTAGAATGTGATGAAAATATATTATCAACAGTAGACTTTTTTACAGTTAAAACTAACTTCACTCCTGTTAACAATGCAGACTTGCCCAGAAGAGCATTTCTAATCATCCTTGGGAAGCAAGGTTGTCCTAAGGTTCCTCTTGGTACCCACTCACCTTTCCTTCTCTTTGGTTCCTCTCAGGAAGCTGATGATGAGGGTGAGGGGATAGAGAGGCAGAGTTCAGGGTTCTGGGCTCTCCAGGGCTGAACCGCCCATCTCCATCTTCCTCTAGAGATAAGGGGGAGGGGTTAGCCCAACGACTGGGATTCAGAACCCCCAATTTTCTTTCCTACAGTGGGGAATGACTCCCACATCAAGGTATGTAGGACAAAGCGTGAGCTTTAGATCCAGGCACCCCTAGCTTGAAGCTGCTGCTTAGAAGTTCACAATGTACCAAGTTAGCCTCAGTTTATTTACCTATACAATGGGGATATCACCCTGTTTTACTTGCTGCATAACAAACAACCCCAAAGTAGTTTAAAACAGCAATGGTTATTTTTCGTGGTCCTCTAGGTCAAGCGTTTGTCAGAACTCAGCTGGGTGGTTCTGCTCCGTGTGGCCTGGCTAGGGACAGCCACCTGGCTGCATTAAGCTGGTGGCTGGGCTGGGCTGGACAGTCCAAGAGGCTTCGCTTTCATGTCTGGTGCCTCAGAGCTCCTCCAGCATCCTTGTTCTCTCCATGTGTCTAGCCTGGGCTTCTTCATGCATGGTGGCCTCAAGGGTGTTGGACTTCTTACATAGTCTGGTTTTCAAGAGGGACTGTGCCCAGCTTGAAGGTAGAAGCTGCATGTCTCTTAAGGTGCAGCCTTGGCAGTTATACAGCCATCACTACCAGATTCTGTTGATTGAAAGAGGTCACAGAGCCAGCCAAAATTTAAGGGGAAGGAAGGTAGACTCCACCTCTCAATGGGAGAAGTGCCAAAGTTCTTGCAGCCATCATAACCCATCCCACGCCCTTATAGAATTGCTGGGAGGATTTTTTTTGTGGTGTTGGTGGTGGTGGTGGTGGGGGGAGATATGGAAAGCATTTAGCACAGCATTTGACACATAGTAATCTATGTGTCAAATTTATGTTTAATAAATAGTAGATACTGTGGGAATGGGGATAGAGAGCTGATGCTTGCAGGTACCAGGCAGGGCTTGATTGCAAATGAAGATACCCAGTGGGAACCAGCCTAGGCTGAAAGGGAATTAATGAATCTTATACTGGCAAAGTACAGGGGTAAGTCTGCACGCAGGCACAGCTGAACTCAGGGGCTTAATTGATGTCATAGCTTTCTCTGTCTCTCTTTGTCTCCCTCACCCTTCACCTGTTGCTTCTGCTTATCTCTGCCTGTCTTTGCATATTGTCCTCATTCACTCTTGCTGCAGACTTTTCTCATATGGCAGCCCTATACCTCCATTCTTAAAGCCAGCAATCCAAAAGGAAGAACAGCATTCCCAGTCATCTCCAGCACAAGTTCCAAGGACTCTGATTGTCTAGCTTGGGCCACTTGCCTATGCTTGAACCCATAATCGTGTCCAGGGAGATGCACTACCATGATTGGGATTGGCAGCCCCCCAGGACCACCCGGAATGGGGCCGCAGGGAGGCGTGCAAGTTCTTTAAATGAAACAGAAGGAAGGGAACTCATCCTCCATCTGACAGGCTCTGACCATGGCTTCCGGAGCCCACCACAGTACATTCACTTCTGTGATGTAGGGGCCCTAGAGTGAAGCATGTGTGAGGAGGGGGTCAGGCTATGGGAAGGAAGGGGCATCTGGGGTTCCCTTCCAGCCAAGGGAGAGAGCTCAGGTCAAATGCCGGGGCTTCAGGAAAATGTCACACAGTTTGGCATCACAGCCTTTTGACCCAAAGGGGGCATGCTGAATTACCAAGGGGGAGAGTGAAACTGGCATTGTGGGCCACATGGAGGAGAAATAAAGCTCCCCAAGGGCAGGGTTTGTACACGCAGCTTTGCCTTCCCCAGAGTTCTTCACTGGGTACGATGCTTTTCATTCTTATCTCCTGCTTGTCAATCATAGACCACCAGAGGGCGCCCAGAGCCCATCTTGCCTATTAACAGGAAGCAGCTGAACCTGCAGGACGTCTGGGGAACTCAAGACAGTGGTGGCAGGACGGGGCAGGGCTGAAGGGAAGCAGGGAGGCCTACGGACAGCTTGGGTCAGACTTCTAGGGTTCCAGACTTTCTGGGATCTCTGGCCTGGCCCAGGCCTAGAACTGGGATGCCTGCCTCCCAGTCTCTACTGCCAGGTCCCAGGTGTGTGTGTGTGTTTGGGTGTGTGTGTGTCTGTGTGTGTGTGAGCACACACACTGGGCACCCTCCTCTGTGATGCCAGAGAGGGAAACTGAGGCAGTGGCATGAACCAACACCACCCTCAGAAGGCTAAAAGAAATTCAGAGGAAGGATCATGGTACAGTGAAAAGAGGCCTAATTTGCTAGCTTGAACTTGATCAAGTCACTTAATCTCTCCAAGCCTCAGTTTGCCTATCACAAAACGGGGGTGCCTGGTAGCCTCTTAGAACATGTGTACTAGAATCTGTAAACTGCTAGTCACATGTTAGTGGTCCATCTTCTGTGGCAGAGCCCAGCAGGGGAAGAACTGCCTTTTGTGAGGGGTGAGAGGACAGTTCCCGCCCAGGACGTGCTGACATGTTGACCATTGGCCTGGTCCTCTTTAAGCTCAGTGCTGCACTCTTGCACTGCTGCCTGGGAAGCGGGATGGAAGAGGAGTTCAGAAGTGCCTCCACCACCCCCACCCCCATCACCCCGCCTTTGCTCACCCAGCTGCTCAGCCCCAGAGCCTGAGCCATCAAGGTCCCCCGCTGGCTGAGTGGTGGAGGACATGTGGGACTGGGTAGATGGGGGAAAAGCACAGAGGTGCCCCCAGATGTGTGCATGACCACATCAGGAACAGCAGAAACAAAGGCAGATGGGTGGGGAGGCCAGGGTGGAGGGCCTGGGATTGGCCTCAGGCTGAGGGCTCAAGAACTCTTTTTCCCCCTTCAATGGCCAAACATATCAGGAGTTTGGGGAGACTGAAGCAGCAGGCTATTCCCCTTACCTTGCAGAGGGGCGGTGGTCCCTAAAGCCTGGGCAAGAGGATGAAAAGCCCCCAAATCTGCCTGGGGCCCTTTCCTTCTCTTTGTCACCAAGACAAACTTCTCCAGGTGAACCTCAGGGTTGAGCCTGGGCTGGGCTGGGGCCATGAGGTTCCCACCTGTTCTCACCCTGGTGTCTCCCCCAGCCCTCCCTCCCTGTAACCTCCTCCAGAGCCTCCACAGCTGGAACCATTCTCCAAGCTGCCTTTCATCCCTGGTGCTCTCCCCCACCCCTGGTGGCCCCTGTAATTGTGGTCTCAGGCAGCGGAGGCTGCGGGGGCTGGGGCTGGGCTGAGGGCCAGGGCCCGGGGCAAAGCCAGGGCGGGGCCTGGAGGCTGCTGATAGAGGCTTGGCCATGGCGTGGGTCATATAGGGCTGAGAGCCCCAGGTACTGACACTCTCTGGGCCTCATCTACACCCATGCCAAGTCCCTGTGTCTACACATGCCCTCCCTTCCCTGGACTAAGGAGAAGAGAAGTTTCCAGGCTTGGGCACTTCTAGACATCAGGCGAGAACCGTGCTAGAGCACAAGCCTTGGGAAGCTATTTGCCTTCTAGAGTTTTCAAAGAAAGACTCTTTCCCTCTCCTTTGCACCTCTGTAGTTCACCAACAGTGCAGAGTAGGAGAGCAAAAGACCCTTCCTCATCAGAGGCCGTCCAAAGGAAAAATATCAGCCCCTCAACCAAGTAAGCCTCACCAAAATCACATGGGGTACTGGTTAGAAATGCAGACTCCCAGGTCTTGGCTCTGGAAACGCTGATCCAGCAGCATGGGTCCTGGAATCCTTATTTTCCATAATGGCCTACCCAGAAAGGAAGGAAGGAAATAAGGAAGAAAGAAAGGAAGGAAGTAAATAAGGAAGGAAGGAAGGGGATCCGTATGCTGCATCAAGCATGGGACATGCTGGTGCAAGGCCTTTGTCCTAGATTACGAACCCGTTCCTGTGTCACGCTGAGCCTGTTCCTAATCCTTTCTGGGTCTCAGTTTCCCCAACAGCCAATGGGAATATGACTCCCCAGCCTGGTTTGTCCTTGCAGGTACCTTCTCCTGCCCTGAGCTCATACCTCCTTTCTTTGTTGAGTGTCATCCTGCCCTGTCCATCCCCTTCCCAAGCAGTCCCTGTCCTTGCAGTATGGTGGGGGGGCAGGGGGCGGCCAGGGTCAGACAAGGTTCTGGCTGACGCAGACTGCTTCCTGCCCCCGGCTGTTTTCCTGCTGTCCAGCCAGACTGCTCCCCCCACTGCTCCCACCCCCCCACACCCCCAGCAGCCTCAAGTCCTTAATTCCTGACAGCTGCGGAGGCTGCTGGCAGAGATGGGGGAAGGGAGGGGGAGGACTCCATCAGTCTGCCTGTTGCTCCGGCCACCCCACCACCTGACAGTCTGAAGCCCTCCCCCTCCAATCCCCCAGGGATGGGCAATTCCAGGAATGGGCCCCTTTTGTCTCTGAGCCCAGAGGCTCAGGTAGTTCTTTCCCCACACCAGGAGGGGCTCTCTTCCGAGAGAAGGGACAGTGGGGCTGGGAGTGTGTGTGTCTGTGTGTGGCGGGGGGTGGTGGATCTCATGCCCATTTTACAGAGGAGAATGCTGAGGCCACGGCAGGATCAGGATTCACTCTCAGGGCCTAGGTTAGAACCAGAAAAAAGTGAGAGCCTCTTTCCCCCAGCCTTCTGGCCGTCAGGCCCTGCACAGTCATCTATGTTCAGTTGGGGTGGGCAACAGGAAGGGATCCCAGGGAGGAGTGGCCTGGGTGTTGGGGACCACTGAGGGAACCATGTGCAGGTGGGGTCAGGTCAGGGGCAGGGCAGGGGTAGGGCAGGGACCCAGAAAATCTGGGGCTTGGGCAAACAGTACTCAGCTTTTGGGCTGCTGCTGGGCTGGGAGTCAGAACCTGGTTTGGGTCCATCTCTTCCGTTAATTTGCTGTGTGACCTTGAGTAAGTCATGACCCTCCCTGAGCCTCAATGTTTTCTTGTGAAATAAAAGGGGGCTAAATGAGATGACCTCAAAGCCCTCTTCCAGGATTAAAAAGGCTCTCTAACACTTCCTCGTGGGCTGTGCCACCCCTCTGGGCGCTCCCTCTCAAACAGGCATTTACTGGAGGTCAATCTTGGCAGCCTTCATTGCTCCCAGGACTAGGTGAGGGGGGCCTCATTAACCTCATTTCACAAAGGAGCAGAGGCTGGCTCCAGGAGCAGGAGCCACCTATTTAAGGTCACACAGGGAAGGAGGGCAGGAGCCAGAGGCTCTCAAACTCCTTTGTGGGACCCCACACCTGCCTCCGAAACTAGTCCCGGGAAGTCCCTCCTGAGATGGGGTAGGCAAAGCAGAGGGGCCGGCCACTCCCCTCCAGCCCCTGCAGGTGTGTGTATTGGCGGCGGCGGGGGGCGGGGGGCGCCCCAGCAGCTGCGTCTCCGCCAGGTACACACACCTCCCAATAATACACGCCTTCCCACACGAACATGTCCGGGTCTGGAGCCCAGGGCGCCCCGCGCACAGACACCTTCCCGTGCACGCGCGCACGGACCCCAACACCTTTCCGCTCACCCCACTCCCAGGCAGGTCTTCGGTCGGCCGCTCCCACCCCTAGTCCTGAGCGGACAGAGTGGCCTCGGGACGCGTACACGCCTCCACCCCTAGCCGTGACGTCACGTGGAGTAGAGCCCTGAGACACTAAGGAGGGGGTGGGGGGAGGAAGGCGGCGGCGGAGCTCTTCTGGACGGGACAGTCACTCATTCTCCGGGCGGTGGGGCCTGGCACAGAAGGCGCCGCCCCAGCCCTCCCGCCCCCCCGCCCCGGCCGCCGCGCTTGCCCTCGGAAGCGCAGGCTCTCGGTGCTGCGTTGGGGGGTGCCTGGCACCTCAGTCTCGCGTCCCCAGCCCACTGCACCTCCGGGCCCCCCTTATCCTCGGGAGGCACCAGGAGTTGTCGCAGAGGGGCCTCGGGAAATTCCCCGGACCCCTGTGCCAGGAGGTGCCTCGTGCGCCCGCCCGCTCCCCCCGCCCCGAGGGCGGTGCCCGGGGGCGCTGCACCATGGAGCCGGGAAGCGGGCGCCGTCTGCTCCCGGAGCCGTGACCCGAGTCGAGTCGAAGCTGTGTGTCACAGCCGCCCGACCCCGGCAGATCATGCGCCGCCGTCCAGGGCTCACCCGCCCCGCCGGGCTGTGAGCCCCCCAACCCCTGGCCCGCCCAGGCCCGCGCGCCATGGGCAGCGCCCACCCTAGCCCTTGGCTGCGGCTCCGACCCCGGCCCCAGCCGCGGCCCGCACTCTGCGCGCTCCTGTTCTTCCTCCTGCTGCTGGCTGCCGCGGTGCCCAGGTGAGCCCTCGCCTCATGCCCCGCCTTCCCGGGGACCTGGGACCCCCAGGGAGAAGGGGCCTCTGGCGCTCCCGCTGAGGCACGGAGCCCTGCAAGGAGCAAAGGACAGGGCCCAGGTTAGTGCTGGTGCCCAACAAGAGACTGTGCCCTCATAGGAGGGGGTTGGGCTGGTGACAGAATGAGCAGTCCAGGGAGACAGGGCAATGTCCAGGAGAATAATGGCAATTAGGAGTGTGGAAAGCAATGAGTTTGAAGGTGTGTGTGTGGTGGTGGGGCAAGTGCCAGCCCAGGGTCCCTGCCATGCTGGGGGAATGCACCCCTGCCCCCAGAAGGAAGCTCAAATGCCTTACCCCACCTTGAAGCTCACCCCCAAAGAGGCGCAGGGATTGGGGGCTGTAAGAGGGCAGCCCAGGTGGGGCACTGAGAGACTGCAATGCGGAGGGAGGGCTCTCGTGTGTGTGTGTGTGTGTGTGTGTGTGTGTGTGTGTGTGTGTGTGTATGATCAAGTAAGCCCAGCAAGCTGTGCTGTTAAACAGCAGTCTGCAGTCTGTGTGGGTCAGGGTGGGTGGGAGAATGTGAGAGCTCATGGGTCAATGGATGTTAAAAGGAACATGGATGTAGATGTGAGTGTCTTGTTTGCATATGTGTGTCTGTAACTATGTCCGATGAAGTGTGCATGTCTGTAAGTGTTCCTGGGCCTGTGTGTCCACCACAGTGTGTGCACAAGTGTGTCTTCGTGAATGTGACTGAAAACATGACTTTGGGAGTAGACTCCTGGGGGACACGGCATGCGGCATCAAGACGTATGTGCATTTGCACATGTTTATCTGTGGTGGTGGTGGTGGGAGCCCTGGTGGCACAGTGGTTGAGAGCTCGGCTGCTAACCAAAAGGTCGGCAGTTTGAATCCCCCAGCCACTCCTTGGAAACCCTATAGGGCAGTTCTACTCTGTCCTGTAGGGTTGCTATGAGTCGGAATCGACTGGAAGGCAATGAGTTTGAGTTGATGATCTATGTGGGTGTGTGCCTGGGCAGGTTGTGTTGGAGGGGGTGATAGTGAGAAGGTAAGAAAAGGAGAATGCTCTAGAAGTGCACTGATGGGCCAGTCTTCAGAAGCAGGGGATAGAACAGAGGGGAGTTTTGGCCTATGGGACAGTGTATATGTTATCAGATGGGGCCAGGTGGATGGGGCCAGGTAACTTTGCCTCCCACTGCCCCCCTCCAGGTCCTCCTACCTCCAATCACCACCCACCCTCTGCAGGTCAGCACCCAACGACATCCTGGGACTCCGTCTGCCTCCAGAGCCTGTGCTCAACGCCAACACTGTGTGCCTGACATTGCCTGGCCTGAGCAGGCGGCAGATGGAGGTGTGTGTACGCCACCCTGATGTGGCTGCCTCAGCCATCCAGGGCATCCAGATTGCCATCCATGAGTGCCAGCACCAGTTCCGGGACCAGCGCTGGAACTGCTCTAGTCTTGAGACACGCAACAAGATCCCCTATGAGAGCCCCATCTTCAGCAGAGGTAGCTGCCCCTCATCACTGCCCTTCTGCCCGCCCCATCCAGCACGCCCACCCCAGACCTGTCTGTCAGTCATCCCTTAACTCACTCCCTCAAGCTGGCAGCCTCCCCACGTGCCCATCTGCCAGCTATGTCACCTTCTTGCCCATTCTGATTTCAGAGAGGCCCCAGGGACCAGGCTTGTGGGGCAGACATGGCTCTAGACTGGACTGTGTGGGCTGAAGATGGAAAGTTCCATGCCCGAGAGCGCAGAACTCCTGGGTTCACCCGTCCCATCCCTGACACCTCATATCTCAGGCCCAGGAAATATGCATATCTGTCACCTGCCTCAATTTACCCTCTATTTAGTTAGCAAACAGCATTTAGGACAGAAAGCCTGTGATAAAGTACCCAGCATCATCATGGAGAGGGGAGGGGGACTGGAGACTTTCTGCCAAATGGTGCGGGTGGGGGACGCCTGGGCAGGTAAAATATTTGTGCTTCTGCAGAAGCTCTTCCCGGCAGGGTACACCACCAGCCTCTGTGTCATCCTCGCCGCCCCTGAGAACCCGTTCTGATTCAGAGGCACTGGGTGTGTGCGGCAGTGCCTGTGTGCCTGACAGCCCTGCCAATAGCTCTTCCCCTCTCAGCTCAAAGGAGCTCCAGCCCACTCTCTGTCCCCCACCCGAAACACCTGACTTCTGGGTGACCCAGGGCCCACCCCAACAATCCCTAGAGTGGCTCAGACTAGAAATGGCAGGAGGCTTTAACATTCTTCTCCATTCACAGTCGCCCCCTGGCCTGGTATCTTAGGCCTTGACACGGGTCTTTGGGAAAAGATGGAGGCCCTGCCCCCTGGATGGGCCTAGCTGGGTACCCATCTCTCCACTTCTCAGCTGCCTCAGTGGGACAGTATGGGGACCCCATGGACACTGGCTTATTGGAAATAGTCCAATCTTCAGCTGACAGTGGAGGAGGAGGGGTGCCCATGTACGCTGTGCCTTGGGGCCCGAGGCCTCTCAGAGAGTCAGACGCCAAAGTACCCCAACTTCAGAAAGAGCTCAGAAAGCTGGAGCCTTTTCCTTTTAACCGGGACCCCTGGGCCCCCAAGTCATACGTCCTGCCAGCACCCCAGCCCAGCCGGGGCTGCCCGCCCCGCCCCCGCGCTCTCCCTCCTCCCTCCTCCCTCCCCCGCGCGCCCGGGGCGCTGTTTCTACCCTGCCGAGCCCAGCCCGCCGCGTGTGGCGGCATGCAGCCGCGAACTAATCCCCGCGGGCCGCGCAG